ATCTGAAAATATAAGTTGAATGCCTGTGTTTTTTTTACATTGTAGTTTATTTCATACTTCTATCTTTACATTGTGGTGGAGATTTTACAGTATTAGCTTATACTCTTGAAATTCTTTACATTTTCAGGAGGCTCCTTGACATTTTATATTAGCACTATAAAACTACATTAAACTTATATTATCTAAAGGTTCTGCATTTTCTGATCCAAATCTGCTTTCCAAATGGAAAAGGAAACCTAACAGATTCCATGGTTTTTAGAAAAATCTGTTTATGTTTCTCTCATGACATGTTTGGAAGTGAATTAAAAAGAAACTTTTATCTTAAACCTCACTATATTAAAACAAGTAATTCAGCTGTTAACCAGAGCTGCTCATTTTTTTTCCATTTCTAACTCTACAGGTAGGAAACAAGTTTTTTTTCAGAATGTTTTTCTTAATATACAATATTGTATTAGTTTCAGGTTACAATATAATAGTTCAGCAATTCTGTACATTACTCAGTGCTCATCAAGATAAGTATACTCCCAATCTCTATTATCTATCCCCCCCCCCACCTCTCCTCTGGCAACCACCAGTTTTTTTTCTGTATTTAAAAGTGTGGGGGTGGGTTATCTTTTGTTTTCAGTTTATCTTGTTCCTTAAATGCCATGCATGAGTGAAATCATACGGTATTGTCTTTCTCTGACTTAATTTTCTTAGCATATACCCTCCAGGTCCATCTATGTTGTTGCATATGGCAAGATCTCATTCTTTTCAATGGCTGAATAATAATCCATTGTGTGTATGTACGGCATTTTAATCCATTCATCTGTGGATGACCACTTGTCTTGGCTATTGTTAGATAACACTGATAAGCATAGGGGTGCATATGTCTTTTCAAATTGGTGTTTCCATTTTCTTTGATAGTAGTGGCATTACTGGGATCATATAGTAATTCTATTTTTAATTTTTGAGACACCTTCTACTGTTTTGCACAGTGGCTGCACCAATTTGCATTCACACCAGCAATGCATGAGGGTTTCTTTTTCTCCACATTTTCACCAATACTTGTTTTTTTTTTTTTTTAATTTTTTGGGTTTTTGTTTTGTTTTGTTTTGTTTTTAAGCTACCCTGACAAGTATAAGGTGATTATCTCCTTGTGGTTTTGAATTGGATTTCCCTGATGATTACTGATGTTGAGTGTCTTTTCATGTGTCTGTTGGCCATCTGTATGTCTTTGGGAAAATGTCTATTCATGCCTTCTGTCCATTTTAATTGGATTGTTTGATTTTTTTCCATGTTGAGTTCTATAACTTCTTTATATATTTTGTATAGTAACCTTTTATTGTATATCATTTGCAGGTATCTTCTCCCAGGTAGTAGGTTGCTTTTTTATGTTGTCGATGGTTTCCTTCACTGTGTAAAGCTTTTGTTTTAGTTTTTGTGTAGTCCCAATTGTTTAATTTTGTTTTTGTTTCCCTTCCCTGAAGAATCATATCTAGAAAAACATCTCTGTGACTAATGTCAAAGAAATTACTGCCTGTATTTTCTTCTAGGATTTTTACAGTTTTCAGATCTCACACTTGGATCTTTAATCCATTTTGAGTTTATTTTTGTTTTTGGTTTAAAAAAGTGGTCCAGTTTTAATCTTTTGCATGTAGCCATCCAGTTTTCCTGGCACTAGTTGTAAAAGACACTGTCTTCTCCCCATTGTATATTCTTGCTTTCTTTGTTTTAGATTAGTTCACCATGTAAATGTGGGTTTATTTCTGGACTCTCTATTCTTTTCCATTGATCTATGTGTTTATTTTTATGCTAGTGCCATTTTGTTTTGATTACTACCACTTTGTAGTATTTCTTGAAATCAGAGATTGTTATACCTCTAGCCTTGTTCTTCTTTTTCAAGATTGCTTTAGCTGTTCTGCATCTTTTCTGGTTCCATACAGATTTTAGTATTACTTGTTCTACATCTATAAAAATCATTGGTGTTTTGATAGGGATTGTACTAAATCTTCAAATTGGTTTGGGTAGTGTGGACATTTTAACAGTATTAGTTCTCTCAACCCATGAGCATATACTTTCTTTTCATTTGTTATCATCATTAGTTTCTTTTATCAGTGTTTTATAGTTTTCAGACTATGGGTCTTCCACTTCTTTGGTTAGGTATATTCCTAGGTATTTTATTAATTTCTCTTTCTGCTACTTTATTACTAGTGTGTGGAAATGCAACAGATTTCTATTGATTAAATTTGTGTCCTGACACTTTACTGAATTCATTGATCAGTTTTAGTAGTTTCTTGGTGGAGTCCTTAGGGTATTCTATATGTTAACTGTCGATTTTTCATATATGGCTTTTTATAATGGTTTTTTTTTAAATTTTTTTTAAATGTTTTTATTTATTTATAGAAGAGA